CTTAAAATAGCTTCAGGGTCTGAAAAACCAGTGTGGAAGTGCTTTAAACCAGCATTCTTATAATGATCAGCAGAGGGGTGACTCTTTTGTTCTTCCATAAAAGAATCCCGGTTCTAGAGAAATCCATGTAAAACCTGCCCTCGACACTTTCCTGACAACTTTACGGCCTCAGTCGGTAGTTTCAGGTCATACTGAATAAAACAAGAAACCAATGAGGGTGTGGTATCCTCAACTCAGATCCACCTCGCGCTGATCCCATCTACTTTCAAAACACCAAGATGAGGACGCCGAACGCGCTCAGCTTGACGTTTCATAACGGGGCTTCACTATCCAATGAGTGACGCCACAGCACGATCAATCTTTTATGTGAATGGGAGTACAGCTCAGTTCTTTCTCATAATCTTCATGTTGGCAACATTCTCAGTTTTTGTGTCTTAGCGAAATACAACATGAGGCTCCTCATTTAACATTAAAATCATTGCATAAGTCTGCATTGTTTTATTTGATTTATTTAGTTTTTGGTCGCCTTTGTGGCTCAGAGTTACAGAAAAGAGAACCACCTAGTCCTGAGCTGCAACTGAAAGACAGACAACAAAAAAGGGGGAAAATGACATTAAAAAGTAAACATCGACACGTTTCTAGCTTCTCTGTCTTCAAAAGCTTAAAGAAGATACTTGATAATACTAGTAAATGAAATGTTGCAGGCATGACTTCAGGTATACAGTAAACAGCGATTAAAAAAAAAAAGAACTACAATCATATTTACTGTCAAACTCACTTCCATTGTGCACGATCTCAGTTATTTATAACCCTTTAATTATTCAGATGCGCTGATTAATTGTTGTTGCTTAATCAAACTAACAAAACTGTTGTCGCACCAAAAGAAGATCAAAAATCTGATAAATGCAGTGTGTGTCTGTAAGCACAGGGCAAAAAGAGGCCACAACTGAACTGAATTTTCTGGACACTAATGCTCTGTGTCTCCCACCATAGGGTTTTCTTAATTACATTAACCAAATGCATTCTGCAGTGTGTGCAATCTCATGGTTAACTGAACACGCCCGTAGCTGCAGCCCCCTCCCCGTTCTATTCCTTGGTGAAATATTCATGTTGAAAGCCACTCTTGCCATCCACTTTCTCCTTCCAACATGTTAATGCCCGCTGTTGTTCAGCCATGCTACCATTGTTTGAGAGTATAGTCTTCAGCATACAGGTAACACCTAAAAATCTGCCCCTGCTGTGTGATCTAAAGTTAATGAAAGGGTCCAACTATCAATCCTGCTGAGACCATCATCATCACCAAGATGAAAATTCTGTATTCTTGTATATCCATATGTATCTTTAGGAAATGCATCTCTTTGGGAAAGCACATTTGTATTTCTTCATGTCTGCACAGCACACTGATTCAAATTGACCAGGCAGGACTAATTTAAATACATTAACTATTCATTAATTGAATAAAGAGGCTAGTTGGCCCCAGGGCCTCTTTATAATCATAAACTGGGGTGTACTGTTTATGCAAAACAGCAAAGTGCCATGTGCTGGCTTATTATGCTAATGATGAATGGCAAAATACATGTTTCTCCTGCCCACAAAGGAGGATTAGGCATGGCAGTGTCAGCAAGTTGTTTCCAGGGTACAGAGTCTGTTCTTCCATATTACCTCATGTTGAGATGGGGCTCAGTAATGTGATTCTTTTCGTTTTCTTCACGTGGATATGATCACACACCCCTCCCTACACCAACTCTTCCTCTATCTCGAAACATTATATCGCAAGGACTCAACTAAACTGGACGACTTCACACTCTCGCATTGACTTATGAAGTTATCTGTAGTTGAAGCAATCTTTTAACTTTCCACATTCTCAGATATTGCTAATGATCCAAAACCCATGCTCTGTATTTCTTAAAATGAAAAAAATTAACTTAAAAACTACTTTAACTAAAATTACTAAAAACCTAAACTAATTTAAGTAAATACTAAAATCTACAGTGCAAAAATGTTGAATCAGCCTCACACGTCTTTATACTTTATACTGTTTTAGGAAAATGGGAAATAAATAGTGTATCTGAGGCAAAAAACAAAACAAACAAACAAACAAAACCAGAGTGTTCTTCAACATATCCTGAGCTCTCATACAGAAGCTTTCTTGTCATTTGTTGAAGTAGTCTTCATTAATAGTTCTCCAGGCTTCTTGAAGGACATTCAAAGCTCTTCTTTGGATGTTGGCTGCCTTTTGTTCTGTTCTCGGTCAAGATGATCCCACATTGCCTCAAAAATGTTGAGGTCCAGGCTCTGGGGAGGGCTATCCATGGATGGATGGATGTCAGATCCATTGATTTGACAAAATCTCCAACACCAACACTCCAACACTACGACATGTCTTCTCATTTAATTGTTTTTCTTTATTTTTACTACTTTCTACATTGCAGATAGATACTGATGACATCAAATACATGACACAAGATATATGGAATTATGTAGCAAAGAAAAAAATTGATAAGTAGTTCACAGGCGTGCCTTGTCAGGGTTCATTTGTGGAATTTCTTGCTTTCCTAATGGTGTTGGGACCATAAGTTGTGTTGTGCAGAAGTCAGGTTGGTACACAGCTGCCAGCCCTATTTGACAACTGTTAAAATTCATATTATGGCAAGAACCAATCAGCTAAGTAAAGAGAAATAACAGTCCATCATTACTTTGAAAACTGAAGGTCAGTAAGTCCAGAAAATTGCTAAAACTTTGAAGTGTAGTAGCAAAAACCATCAAGCACTACGACAAAACTGGCTGACATGAGGACCACCCCTGGAAAGGAAGGAGTCACCTCTGCTGCTGAGGATAAATTCATCAGAGTCACCAGCCTCAGAATTCGCAAGTTAACAGCACCTCAGATTAGAGCCCAGATAAATGCCACACAGAGTTCCTGTAGCAGACACATCTCTACATCAACTGTTCAGAGAACATGTGAATCAGGCCTTTTATGGTCAAATAGCTGCTATGGAAAAGCAGCAAGCAGAAAAGATTTGTTTGGGCCAAGAAACACAACGAATGGACATTACACTAGTGGAAATCTGTACTTTAGTCCAAATTTGAGATCTTTGGTTCCACCCGCCGTGTCTTTGTGCGACACAGAAAAGGTGACCGGATGGTCTCTATGTGCATGGTTCCCACCGTGAAGCATGGTGGAGGAGGTGTGATGGTGTGGGGATGCTTTGCTGGTGACACTGTTGGGGATTTATTCAAAACTGAAGGCACACTGAACCAGCATGACTACCACAGCATCCTGCAGCGACATCCCATCCCATCCGGTTTGCGTCTAGCTGGACAATGACCCCAAACACACCTCCAGGCTGTGTAAGGGCTATTTAACCAAGAAAGAGAGTGATGGAGTGCTGCTCCAGATGGCCTAGCCTCCACAGTCACCTGAACTAAACCTGATTGAAATGGTTTGGGATGATATGGACCGCAGAGTCAAGGCAAAAGGGCCAACAATTGCTCAGCATCTCTGGGAACTTCTCAAGACTGTTGGAAAACCATTTCAGGTAACGACCTCATGAAGCTCATCGAGGGAATGCCAAGAGTTTGCAAAGCAGTAATCAAATCAAAGGGTGGCTATTTTGAAGAATGTAAAATATAAAATGTTTTGAGTTATTTCACACTTTTTTGTTTACTACGACATAATTCCATATGTGTTCATTCATAGTTTTAATGCCTTCAGTGAGAATCTACAATGTAAATAGTCGTGAAAATAATGAAAAACTATTAAATCACAAGGCGTGTCCAAACTTTTGACTGGTATTGTACATACATACACACATACATACATACATACATATATTCTCTACTCAACAAAAGAAATAATAGACCCTACATCCTCTCAGCTAACCATCCAACTCGTTTCCAGAAAGCAGTTTAAAAATAAAGGGCATTAAGGGGATACATTAGTGCACATGGCACGAGTGACACACACATCTGTGAAGGGATTATCAGTGATGAACGATAAATCAGGTTTTGGAACAACATATGCTGCCATCCAGGCTTTGTCTTTTTCAGGCAACGCATTGCCAAACCACATTCTGCACATGATTACAAGAGTAAAAGACAGTGGGTGCTGAACCGGCCTGCCTGTCGTTCACCCACTGAAAACGTTTTGGGGATTATGAAATACAAAATGTAACAAAAGCAATTGGCCTCCTCAGCTTCCAGATGCTTAAGTCTTTTGAAATATGTTTCTGAAAGCATGTTAAAATCAGCATTTTTTTTAAAATGTCCCAGTTTCAACATCTGATAGGATATGTTGTCTTTTTATTACTAAATATAGTGCATGGCCAGTACATAACATTCCCACTAGTTACCCTCCCATCCTTCACTTTCTCCATCACTCTGAGACACACTAACACACATACACGCACATAGACACATTCAAAGATATTCCACAGCTGTTATCTTAGCAAGACTTTAACTGTGTCATGATGCCACAGTTATTCATTCAGTTCTATAGCAACTAACATATAGAACAATCCATCTAAATCCAGTAAGCAGTACTCGTATACTACTAAAGTATTGCATATTTTACGGATTCAAGGAACTTTACCCTCAAACAAACATCAAACACTGAAATCAGTTCCAGCATGTTTTACTTTAAACGTTTTACACTGAAGCAGCGAGCTGCATACTTGTGACTGATGATTTTTTAGACAGCAATGGTTTATTTATATCCCTGTACATCAGCGTAGCTGTGCACACAGCCTTTTCATTTCAAATGCACCTTATTACAAGTTGGCAGAAAACACTTAAATAGTTCCCTACAACTGTGTGTGTAACTCCCGTTCTCACTGGTTGCTCGCTGACCCACGTTGATTCTCCTGCTCTGGTCGTTCGTCAGCTTGCAACGTGGCGCCGGAATCCCTCTCGTGTTACCGACATCCCGTGGACCAATGGGGGATATTCTGGCAGTGGTTGAGGCTGGGGCCTGAATCAAACGGAGCCTGTGAATGGCTGTACGTAAGGCGGCAGGAAATCCCTGTTTGGTTGCATCCCTTTCATTGGGATAAGGGACAGGATTGCCTAAAACTGTGAGGAGTGTAGGTGTTCAGAGAGGACCTGTTTGCGGGCGCAGGTTGCGTTTTGAGGGTGTTTGAACATTGCTGCAACATTGTTGCGCTCCGCCGCTGAAGACAGGACAAAAAGTCGGCGTTTAGCGGTCCAGCAGTGAAAGGAGCTACACAGCCGCTTGATCATTGTGTGTTGTGGTGTTGTAGGCCCGTTTCGGAGATCGCTGTGCCCTCTGAGAGAAGTCAGCTTGAACCCCGACTGATGGCCGGCTTCAGCTTCGTGTGCGCTGTGCTCTTCTGCGCCGCTGTGGCGCAGACCAAGCCGACGCTGAGAAAAGAGAGAGTCCATCATGAGCCAGAGCTAAGCAGGCAAGCCCACGAAGACAATAAGAGCTTCCAGTATGACCATGAGGCCTTTCTGGGCAAAGAGGAGGCCAAAACATTTGATCAGCTCACCCCTGAAGAGAGCAAGGACAAGCTCGGGTAAGGAAATGCTACCAGCACTCTGCCACATAAGCTGATTTTTGGTATCTGAAAGTGAAGTTAGTGACAGGCTTGGTGGGATTTCGAAGGACAGGTTGGAGCTTTTGTGTTTGTTTGTTTTAAATCACACACTCTGCCGCTGAAGCCCGTTTCGTGTAACTGTTCAGACTAAGAACACTAAACATTTAAAAACATGGGAACATGTGCCTGTGAAAGCACTCCTGCTCTATTATGGCACCCATACTGTTTGCACACACTGTACACTTAATAGTCTGCAGAAATCTTAATTACAAATACTCATTAAAGATTCATTTATGGGGGTGAAGTTTAAGGAAAGTTTAATGGCCGAAGTTCTGCATGTAGGTATTCTGTACAAAACTGCAGGGCACGCTCAGTGTGCCACTTGGTTCTGTTGGCAGGATTCTTCAAGTATTAAACGTTTTTTTTTCTTCTGCCACTGCTGCAGTGACAAGTTGGCACCATGTGACGCAAGTTAGTCCATAAAACTCCTGCTTGTTGTCTTGAAAGAGGGAGGACCCCTGTAATATCACAACGTGGCAGCCCAGGTCTAAGAATACACCACAGATGCACTGCAGTTTTTAGCTTTCTAACCTGGGTTTGCCTGCCCCTCCCTCAGAAATCCTTTCTATGAATCCACATTACCTGTAGGAAAATAATTATTTATTAATTATTAATCCAGCCTGTCATTAATCAGCATCTCATTACTAAAGTCTTCGGTCACTCTATATTTTACTTTTATACTTTCCTTCTTACATTTAATTGGTTTTCAAAGTTTTTCTTTGGACATCTGTTTTGTCCCCCCCCCCCTAATTTTTAGTCCATTCCTTTATTTTCATTTTCATTTTTATTTTTGTCTGTTTGTTTGTTTAATCACTTAACACTAATGTGAATCATTCAAGCGTTAAAAAGCACGAAGTGGACAATCTGTGAACAATAAAAAGGAAGTAGCAGGCCTGTAAAGGACTAATTACAGCAGATGAACGGTATCTGAAACCTATGTTCTTAAGAAAAAGGACAAAAATCAACCGAAGACTTGACGCAGGACTAGAGGGTCAGGGTTTGCATTTGCATTTCAGCCGGTGGTGTTGGGGACCTTGTCAAACTTGACAGAATTACTGATGCAGAAAAATACCATTAGGTTTTGATCCACCATCTAATACCATCTGAAAAGCATCCTATCAGCAAGACTTCATTTTTCAGTATAGCAATGATCCCAAACACAATGACAGTGCGGTTAAAGCATACCTGGACTGAAAAACACACATTAACATTATCAGTCATGGACTGGTCTCCCCAGAGCCCGGACTTCAACACTACTGAAGCTGTGTGAGATCATCTTGACAGAGAACGCTACAAAAAGCAGCCAACATCCAAATAAGAGCTTTGACTGTTCTTCAAGAAGCCTGGAGAATTGGCCCTGAAGCCTACTTAAAGAAGAATAAACACTGCCATACCGAATACTGACTTTTAAACTTGTTAAATTGTAAAACCTCGATTTTTGCCTTCTATATTGAATTTCAGCAAATCTCTGCACATTTCAATAAATAAATATTTTCAACCAAAATATAAAGAAATGAGGGGCTGAGTCAGTATTTTTGCACAGCACTGTATGTTGCCTATATATGCCTATAAGATCTAGTTAATATATCACTAAGATCTAGTTAATATATCACTAAGATCTAGTTAATATATCACTAATATCTGTCTTTTCCCCTGCCCAACAGAAAAATTGTGGACCGAATAGACAGCGATGCAGACGGCTACATCACCACAGCTGAACTCAAGGCTTGGATAAAGCGCGTCCAGAAGCGTTATGTGTATGAGAATGTAGCCAAGGTGTGGACTGATTATGACCTGAATAAGGACAATAAGATTTCCTGGGATGAGTACAAACAAGCCACATATGGATACTACCTCGGTATGGGCTCACTAGTTCAAGACACATGGTGTATTTTTTTTTATTTATTTTTAGTATTAAAGTATTACATGACTATTAAACCTGATTCATTTTTTATTCATCTTTTTTTTTTTTCACCCTCTTAGCCAACCCGGAAGAATTTGAAGATGCCACGGACCAGTTCAGCTTCAAGAAGATGCTCCCTCGTGATGAGAGGAGGTTTAAAGCAGCTGATCTGAACAGGGACCTGGCAGCAGACAGAGAAGAGTTCACAGCCTTCCTCCACCCTGAGGAGTTCGAACACATGAAGGATATTGTGGTTCTGGTAAGCCCTTTGTGTTCACGTGATCTTTAAGTAAGGAGTACGCACGTCAGACCTGAAAGAAGTGACGTTCCCAAAAGTAAGAGCACGTCTGCCTAATAAGAAATATGATTTAATTCCAAGAGTTTTGAGTTTCTGTTCCATGTGTTTGATCTCGCTACTTAAATAAATGTGCTACATTTGAATAACCTCCTAATGAAATTTTAACTTGGCCCAGAAATGATTGAGTTCCTATATTTTTTTTTGGGAACAGGTCCAGTGGGACAAACCGACCGTCCCATTTAAAACTCAATCTTTAAATATAAATTCGGCTTCGTGGAATGTGGGGTGGCGAATGTTAGCAGTGATGCACTATGCTGCTCTGTTCATAAAATTTGTACTACCCATTTGACAGAGTTAATTATTAATCTCTCATTTTTATGATGTTGCTGAATGTTACCAAAGAACGGTTCAGCCAGGGGTGTCTTCACTGATTGTGGTGAATCTGGCTAGAGCTAACATGATAGTTACACATACATACATGCTGCATTCATACTTTATACTTACAATGAATTTTTCAGAAACACTGATCTTTCTAAAACTATGCAAACGAATGAGTAACTGATGGTACATGCGATCATAGGAAAAACATTAGAAAGGATGTGGCTGTAGGCTAGCGTGAACAATAACTGAAGGAGATTGCTGTGCAGGATCAGGGAGGAACGTGAAGTTGGTAAGCGCCAACTGGAACCCTACACACAATTCACATTTCTACCTTCAAACTGCTTGTGTTGCTGCCATCTACTATTGGCACCAGAGAACTCCTGCACACTGCAAACGTGGAACAATACCAGTCCTTAAGAATAGTAGATTAAATTTGGCAGACGAGAAATCTTTCATTCTGAAGCGTAACACTTTGCATGAGCATTCACATGTATTTGGCCAAAGAAAACAGAACAGAATCGGTCGTAGTTAAGTCAGAGAGATGTGAATAATCAAGGAGGCATAGTTATTGATTAGAAATTTAGGAAAACTAGTCAGGAAGCAAAACTTGGATGTATGTGGTGGTGTTTATGTAGGTCTTCATTTCTTCCTTTTAACACACCATTAAGAGAATTTCTGAATTTCAACCTAAAAAGAGTTACGAAAGGGTCAGTTTTAGTGATCTGAAACTGTTTGATGTGAAAGAAAGCTCATATAAAATGCTTTAGTTCATTGCTGAACCCATTATGTTATTTTCCAAGCAAAGACAAGATTTTATAGCAGAACATAGGTTTTAATTATGATACCGATTATACTGCTGTGAATTGTCGTGTCCTTTTTGCATCCTTATAAAACGGAGAACATCTTACCCTTTCAGTGTTTCTAAAGATCTACACTGGAGAAAAATCTCTTTTTGCTGACCCTGCACAGGCTATGTGGGTTTAAGACAAAGATTTTCTTTTTTCCTCTTAGTGAACTATTAGAAATTCCTCCATCTGTCCTTCTGCTACTTAGCAGGGCATCCTCCCTGCCCAAAGCACTGAACCTAGGAGGCATCCAGGAGTCATCCAAGTCAGATGTAGGAGTAGCAGCTCTAATCTAAGTAACTCCAGAACAGCCAAGCTGCTTGCCCTGTCTGTAAAGGGGACCCCGAACACCCTTTGGAAGAAAATAGTCTCTGCATCATGTATCCAAGATTTCATTCTCTCGGTTGCTACCCAAAGTTCGTGACCATAAGTAAGAGTAGGAACCAAACTGACAGCTTTGCTTTCATGTTCAGATCACTACAGCATCCACATCACTACAAGTGCCACCCCCACACGAACAAAACCCTGAGATACTTAAACTCCCTTCCCTTTAATTAACCAGTTAGCCAAATTCACATACTGTCAGATCCAGTATGTTACAGATAAATCTAGTGGAACCAAGTGTTTGCTGAAAAGGGTAAATCATTGTTGAGTGCAACTCATCAGTAGTCCTGTATTGTTGTGTCACTCTGCCGGCCCAGCTGTGAGCAGAATCTTATAAATTCACTTTTCCACCCCAGGGCTGCACGTTTCTCTTCTATTACTCAAAGTGAAAGTTCCTCTATAGTTGAAGGACCCTTGTGTCTTCCTTTAATGATATTATTAACTCATTCTCTATGCAGGAAACCTTGGAGGACATTGACAGGAACAGTGACGGGCATGTGGATGAAGACGAATATATCGGTGAGTTAATTCAAAAATTGAAAGCAATTGGTAAAAAAATAAAAACCCGTTAGCACTCAAACATCTACTTAGAACCTAACAATATACCACTCAGTGTTTTTAAAACACACACTGACAATTTGAAGCATACAAAGACGAACAGGAATGTGAATAAGGAGCATAATATAATATTTCAACAATTTGCCTCAATCCCCTAATCACTGGAAAAAGTGGATTTTAAAGTGTTGCAGGAGTTTGCAGGAACTTTTCAGCTCTTTTTAGAAATACGAAACATGTACATGTCCTCTTGATAGCATTATGTATGCACAGTTCTTTAATTATGAATCATTTAGTGTTGATGATTTTTCTATCAGTGCACTGAAATGACAACTCTGCCGAAATAACAGGACTTAAACTTCACCTCCACTATAGATGGATGTTAGGGTTCAGAGCTTCAGTGTCATTGGTGTTTGCTTTGGAAAGCTTGCACGTGAAATAGTGTACATTGTGTGTATGCCATTTCTGTAGGAATTTATACCAGGAGTGTATTTAAGGTGTAAATTGTGTGTTCTCTTTAAATGCAAACTAAAAAAATGTCGAAATGTCTTATTCAAATGTTCTTTCATCATTTCTTTGGGTTTTAAGCGGACATGTTTGCACATGAGGATGGTGGTCCAGAACCAGAGTGGGTCAAGACTGAGAGGGAACAGTTCTCTGACTTCCGAGACTTGAACAAAGATGGAAAAATGGACCAGGATGAAATCCGTCACTGGATCATGCCACAGGACTATGATCATGCACAGGCGGAGGCCAGACATCTGGTGTACGAGTCTGATCAGGACAAGGTATACTGTTAGAGCTATGTTGATATGGTTTCATATCTATTGCTTGTGCCCTTGTGGATGTGAGAGCTTGTCAACACAGGGTTCATTAGAGTCACCGGGTACGAGCTGGAACCCGTCCTAGCCAACAGAGGGCAAAAGTAAGTGTACGATCTGGACGGGCCGCCAGAGTGCAGGCACAGAGACGGCATGCAAACAAGTTAATTTTCTTTATTGGTGTATTTCGTATTTGTGTATTTTCAGTTCACAGCAGAATTCTTCACTTGAGTGGTTTTTTTTGCTTTTGGGAGTGTTTTTGTTTACATTTAAATAAGAGCTTTTTTAATCATCATATTTCACACGTTCTATCTCCCTTATCAGGATCAGATGCTGACTAAAGAGGAGATCCTCGAGAACTGGAACATGTTTGTGGGAAGTCAGGCTACTAACTATGGAGAAGACCTCACCAGGAACCACGACGAGCTCTGAGCTCTCACTGCAGCTTCGTGTGTGTGTGTGTGTGTGTGTGTGTGTGTG